ATAGGAACGAATCTTGTAGTGTATCAGATTAACCCGGTTAACTGTAATATGTATAAACACTTCGTATTTGTGTATTTAAAATTTAATGATGTAGTAGGTATCTTCTTTTGTAGCATCTTTTCTACGTGATAACTAACCTAAAAATAAATTAAATTAAAATATTAAAATTCTCCGGTTAACTGTAATATTTATTAACACTTCATATCTGAATATTTAAAATTTACTGATGTGGTAGGTATCTTCTCTTGTAGCATCTTTTCTATGTGATATAACTAACCTAAAAATAAATTATATTAAAATATAAAAATTCTCCAGTTAACTGTAATATTTATTAACACTTCATATCTGAATATTTACAATTTAATTCTGATGTCGTAGGTATCTTCTTTTGTAGCATCTTTTCTGTGTGATAACTAACCTAAAAATAAATTAAAATTAAATATTAAAATTCTTTGGAACCCCAAATGGTTGCGTTTAAGTTTCTACAATTTCGCTATTTCGTAATTGAATTAAACAGAAACGCAAGTTTAATGTATAGAGGTTCGAGAAAGCGTAGTAAAGGATTTTTCTTCCCGGCGGAGAGTAGGTTAATAAACGCGCGAGCGCGGTAATCGGTAAATCGAGCGTCGCGTCCTGGTGGACGGCCATCCTCCTGGGCGATGTTTTCATTAGGCCGTAATAACCGGTACGGATCGGCTCTGCCGGGCGAAATTGAATTACCACCGGAAGATCTCGCCTTTCCCTTCGACGCGCCAAAAGGAGAAGGAGACACGAAGCAAGATGGCGGCCACCGTAGGCCCGTGTATCTGGTACGCGGTAACGTCCGGCGACCAATTTTGGGAGGCCATTTTTCCCTCAAAGGGGAACGTAGACGGCAGCCCGAAAATTACCCCGGTTGGACCACCCAGTCGGCCCACGGCAGACCAATCTCCTGGCCATGGGCTAATCGAGTCGGGACGGTTCGGACCAGGCGAGCTGGTGGGGCTAATTGCAGCTCACCACCTTCGTACCCTCCAGAGGTCGACCTCTCTATTAAGAGACCTTTACGCGGCCTCTTCTCGCGCTCACCGCTCCTCTGCCGCGTCACGTATTAAATTGGAGGGTGTAAGCGCGATCCTAAACTTTTTACTTAACCCCTTTGAACGACTTTACTCCGGCTCGAGGACCCTCGGGTTCTCGCCCGACCCAAACCTGGGCCATCCACCCCCGCGCCTCCTTCACACCACCGACATTTTCTCCTAGATCCTCCATTACGGATTTATTCCTCATTACCTTAACGTTAGTTTCTCTTAAACATTGCAGGAACTAGTAATGGGGACGTTTTCATAATTATTCATCTTCACCGTCAATATAGGAACAATTAAACTTAATTTAACTAAGAAACGATTAGAAGACACTTCTGAGATGCAAGGGTTAGGTTATTGGGGAACGAATGGTACGCCATCTATGTATTGTTAGATAATAAAATACTATTCACAAGAATTAATAATAAACATTTTCCTAATAATTCATGTGAAATATATGTGAAATATAGGAACAATTAAACTTAATTTAACTAAGAAACGATTAGAAGACACTTCTGAGATGCAAGGGTTAGGTTAATGGAGAACGTATGGCACGCCATCTATGTAGACACGTTTTAAGAGGTTATATGGTTGCTATCTGTCATCTGTACGGTGAAGATTCCGTCGATCGAGACGAATTGCGAATTTGAGGTTACTGTGAACATAATCACAAAGTAGCGATAACAATGGCTGCACTGAAGTTTCTCGTTGACGGACCACGCAGATATATCTCTGAAAATGAATAAAACACTAGTAACTAAGAACAACTATAGTTCTAAAAGCTAATATGAATACTACCTGTCATCGTACAGCGAAAATTCGATCGAAACGAATTGCAAATTTGGTTATCGAACATAACCTCAACATGCACTACCGTGTAACGAAGCAAACGATATCGTTTAAATTAGTGTTATATCGTGAAATAATAGAATACGATTCGCAATAGACTGTTGCTATGCACGATGGAAAATAGTCACGAGGTGACAATAACAATGGCCGCCATGAACTTTCTCGTTGATGGACCACGTATATTTCTACAAATTAGTAACACATGCGTACCTGGCAACAATTGTAGACACGTTCTGAGCGGTAATATGGATATCTGTTGTTGTACGATGAAAATTTGGTTAATTGAGGCGAACTGAACACTTTATTTATCGAACTTGATGTGACAAGCGCTACGTACTGTGTAATGAAGACGCGACTGACGAGCGTACACGATGAGTCACGACGAAGACCGAAGGCACTCGAGCTTAAACGACCAATCAGTACAATCGTCAATAAGTAGAGCACCGATTTGCTGAATACGTTATCCATTAATAGCGGTATAATTTGAAAACTTAGGCACAATTATACGTTTCAATAGAGAGAAATATAGTAGATTAACGAATTGAAGAAAACTTTTAACAAGATATGCACTAATTTCTAGGCTCTGCATTTGACTGTATCCATTGATATCGTCACTGTATATGTAACTGTATGTACTGTATCTACTGTTGTAGCTCTTTATGGGGTAGGATGAGATATTGTAAATAGGGTGTTTATTAGTTAACTATTATGGAAGGTAGCATCTTTTACAGTATAGTTATACTATTGTTATGACTATTGCTAGTATTTATTACTGCTTTTCTGTAAAAGTGAGACCTGTGAATATAATATTGGCTATAAAAATGAGTTTGCTTTACTTCTAACCTAGAATTTAGTAGGCAAATGTTAATTTTGATTAAGAATATATGACGGAGGAGAGAAATTCGAGGCTGGACGCGGATGGTGGAAGAGGTTATTGAGGCGTCCGAATAGAACGTTCGGTGCAATCGACAGCGCTAATTTTCACGTTCAATAAACGGGCGTTTAGTGGTCGAAACGCGAGATGAGGGAAAAAAGGTTTCTCTGCACGGAGTTTATGGCTTCCGCTATCGCCGAAACGCGGCGAACGCGCCACGATACGGCGCGAGCCTCCTTTCTGGCTTTATGGTGATGCGAAATTCCTCTCTCTCCAAGTCTCGCCGTAAAACTATTTTATAGGAGATGTAGACACCGGTTGTTTATTGCTCGCGCGACCTCTCCCGTGTACAAGGTCGAATTACAACAGCTAAAAGCCTGTGTTCTACATGACGCGTTAATATACGAGGCCTCCCAACTTATCCGTTTCCCCTTCGGCCCTTGTACGGTTCCCCTCCCCCGAAAACTCGCGCGTCGCCTTTAGACGCTTCGCCCTCATCCCTCTCACTTTTCCAATAATCAAACAATACCAAAAAAAAATAAAAAAAATCGTCATTTATTAAAATCTCTCTTTTGCTCTAAAAGTTCAGAGGGATAAAAGTGGTCTTATTTTGATAAATTTTTGGAAAAGAGGGGACAAGAAAATTATTTTGTTTATAATCTGAACTTAAAATTAAGGATTGGGGGGTTCTTCAACCACAGGAATCGTTAAAAAAATATTTGATTTAGTTCGACAAATTTTTGGAAAAGAGGGGGCAAGAAAATTATTTTTTTTATAACCTGAATTTACTGTTAGGGGTTGGAAAGCTCTTCTACGACATGAATAGACCCAGAAATCACAAGTTTCAAACATTAAAAAAATATTTGATTTAGATCGATAAATTTTTGGAAAAGAGGGGGCAAGAACATTATTTTTTTTATAACCTGAACTTACTGTTAGGGGTTGGAAAGCTCTTCTACGACAGAAATAGACCCAGAAATCACAAGTTTCAAACATTAAAAAAAATATTTGATTTAAACTGCTGCCGAGAAAATGGTCTTTTCTCTCGATTCCTGATTTAATTGAGCGTTCTACTTACCTTCTCGGAGACGTCTCGACGTATGGAGGTCGAAAAAAAGCTCCTCCCGGGCGTTGGATAAAGTATAGCCGCCCGCGAGCGCGTTCCCACTCGCGCCGGGCAAGATTAACTCGCGTCGTTGATGTCGGGGAATAACGAACGACAATTCGCCCGAGGATACACGTTTTTATTCGCCATGTCACGCTGCACAATGTATAAACGACGTCGTCGATTCAGTCTTATTTACAGAAAATCGCGGGGAACGCAAGCGCAAGGAGGGAACCAAAAAAAAACAAAAAAAAACAAAATGGTAGAAAGAAGGACAGATTAAGTACTTCGGGAAAAGCGGGGAGGAGGGGGGAAAGCGGGCAATCGTTTGCGCGCGAAGCGGAAACGCTTGAAACGAACAGCTGGAGATACCTGGAAAGCTTCGAACAATGGGAGACGAACGATCGTCCCTCTTACGACTAAAAGGAGCCATACTCGCGACGATTTATCGCACGAATAATCGCAACGACCTGTTATCCTAATGTGGATTTGTCCCGTTACTATGAATCCACCGTACGTCTAATTAAATACGTCCAAGAGTTCACATCAATTTTTTTTTCTATTTAATTTTTTCTATTGTTTAAATATTGTTTTGAATTTTCCGAGTGGTCAGAAACTACACCCAGTCACTGCTACGATATTTTTAATTATAAATCATCAAATAAATATCAGAGAAATGTATTAACCTCGAGTATCTAAAGATTCGCCAAAATGGCGGACTGAAATCTCTGAGTAATCAGAAGCCTCACTAGTCACTTCTACATTCAATATTTTTAATAATAAATCGTCAAATAAATATCAGAGAAGTATATTAACCTCGAAAATTTCAAGATTCGCCAAAATGGCGGACTGAAATCTCTGAGTAATCAGAAGCCTCACTAGTCACTTTTACATACGATATTTTTAGTTATAAATCGTCAAATAAATATCAGAGAAGTATATTAACCTCGAAAATCTAAAGATTCACCAAAATGGCGGACACTAATCGTTGCTTTCCATGCGACAAACCGGAGCTCCATGGCCCCCATAACGCGTATATTACAGATGCTTAACCTAACCGGTCGTCGATCGTTCCCAGATCCCCTGGGCCACTCGCGACGGCCATTTTCTAGCGACAAGTGTTGATAGTCTTCTTCTCCAGGCAGGTGTTGCACGTGACCTCGCAACACCACCGAAATCTGCACTTGCAATTGGTCTTTTCCTTGACGATCCTGGTGTCGTACCCTCTGCCGCAGCAAAGCAGCTCGCAGCCGTCGACGCCCTGGCTGGTGGAGTTGCATCGACGACCCTGGGTCCCCAGGGAGCCTGTCTTCCGGTTCGGTTTGCAGAAGTCGGGGGAATCCTCGCTGTAGATCAGATCGAACCGATCCGGCGGCTTGATAGTCGGCCCCTCTGTGATGAAGCTGTGCCCGTCGTTGCTGGGGATCACCTTCGCCGCGCCGTCGAACGACTCCTTCAACCGGTTGCCCACGTCGCGGAACGGCGGCATTTTCCGCCAACAGGTGCGCACGGTGCAGGAACCGGAAAGACCGTGGCACTTGCACTCCGTCCTCATGAAGTCCCTCACTGCCTGCGACCCCAAAGGAGACCCAAAGTCGCGAAATATTCAAGTCTCAACGTCTAGTTCTAATTCTTAAGGGGTGGTAGCTTTGTATGGGGATTTTTGAATGTTGAGGACTTGCATAAATAGCTTTGCGTGTTCTCAATGAAGTTTCTTAGGGTCTGTGATCCCAAAGGAGGCCACAAAATGGCGAAATACTTGCATAAATGATAACATAAGCTGACAGTAAGTCCAATTGATTGATGGGTTGAAGATTGTAAATGTTGAGGGCTTGCATAAATATCTTTGGGTGTTCCTGATGAAGTTCTTTAGAGACTGCAATCTCCAAGGAGAACTAAAATGGCGAAATGGCACTAGGTCCTATTGATTGATGTGTTGAAGATTATGAATATTGAGGACTTGTATAAATATCCTTGTATGTTCCTAATGAAGTCTCAATCGATTTGTAACTCCCAACAAAAACCAAAAACGCGAAATCCTGACATGTGAGGGCTTCCATAAATGTTTTTCTCAATTCTTAACTGTACCTCAAATGGTTAAATAAGGATTGTGACTGTATTGTGGATGATAAATGCGTACCAGTCGCCCAGCGTTGTTGTTGTGAAGCTTGACCAGCGTCTTGATGTCGCTGCGTTTCCGGTAGGGCGCGTCCATGAAGTCTCGCGACTTTTTGAACCCAAATTTCACATTGTCCCCGCAACCACCCCACTCCCAGTCGCCCTCAGTGGGCAGACTCTTCTCCAGCGAGGCGGTCCTTGCGAATTTACTGAGAGGATTGCCTGCGGGAATTTGCAAAACTCGCGAAATCGCACTCGAACGGAGAGAATTGTACCGAGCTTCTCAACGAATGATACCTTTCGACGTCATTTTGTCGCAGGAACACTGGACCAGGTGACCCATGGTGCAGGCTCTGGTCACTGCGTACGTCACCCCAGCTGCTGTGATGGCGTTCACGAACCCCGTTTCCCGCGTATCTGCAATCAGACGATCCCTCGATCGATTCTAATATGGTACGCGTTATGATAAAAATAAGAGAAAATTAGATTGGATGAGATTATTAATGCTTTTTCATAATAGCTACATTTAATTTCGCCGAAAAATTTCAGCATCTAATCGAATTTTTTTCTTCAAAGTGGGTAGGAATTCAGGGATATGTCTATTCACAAAAAATGATTGTAACTGATCCCCGCAAACAAAAATAATTTTTTCAGAATGATTTGAAATTTTTTAATTTTGTCGAAAAATTTGCTCCCCACTCGAATTTTTTTCTCGAAAATGGTTAGTAATTCGAGAATATGTGTATTCACCAAAAATGATTATAATCGACCCCCGCAACTAAAAATAATTTTTTCAGAATGATTTGAAATTTTCTAATTTTGTCGAAAAATTTGCTCCCCACTCGAATTTTATTCTCGAAAATGGTTAGGAATTCGGGGGTATGTGTATTCACAAAAAATGATCGTAATCGACCTCCCTAACTAAAAAAATTTTTTCAAAACGATATAAAATTTTTTAATTTCGCCGAAAAAGTGATAGATCTACTGAATTTTTTTCTCGAAAGTGGTTAGGAATTCGAGGGTATGTGTATTCACCAAAAATGACTGTAATCGACCCCCCTAACCAAAAATAATTTTTCTAGAATGATTTGAAATTTTTCAATTTCACCGAGTTTCTCCATCTGCCCCCTTGTCGACTCTAAGACTCTAGAGCCGAAATTCGCTACTTTGGGTGCCCCAACGGTGACTCAAGGAGGATGTCTCGTTTCCTCTAGGTCGCCCAGGTCCCCAGGACGAGGATATCGTGCATCGTGGGCGGAAGATTTCGGTCGTTCGCGACAGGTTGGAGACGATCCAGGGAGAGCAAAGGGGGAAGGCCCACGTAGCTCTGGATGGCGTGTGTATTCGGTTTCACCTGTCACGTCTCCACTCCATCATTAGGCGGACAATGCACGCCGGGAGTTCCACCCCTTTTCAAAACGGCAGATTACCACCGCCTCCGTCCAACGGCTCCCTGTCACCCATTGTCTCTCACCTGCCCGTGCATCCGGGTTTTGCAAATCCTCTCTCCGATCCTTTATTTATTTTTTCCTTTGGTTTCCGCGTGTCCAAAACCCCCCCTCTCTCTCTCTATCTCCTTCTCTCCCCGTCCTCTCGCGATCAAAGTTTTGCGTCCACCGGCCGACGAGATAGAATCTTGCGGCTCGTGGATTAACTTATAATCGTAACGCGGAATGCGGGGCCCAATTACCGATTCCGTTGGTCCAAAGTATCGCGAGCGGATCTGTCCAGGCGGCGATCGAATCGGCGAAGGTGGCCTCCGACGAGGCGTTTCCGGCGAGGCAATTATCCGTTTCGAGGCGTTTAAGCGCGAACCAGGCCGCGAATACTAATGTTCGCGGCGCCATGGATCAAAGAAACGCGCGATCGATACACGGAATCTCTGTTGAGCCGGTTCAAATCACTTGGAACGCTTTCTGAACTCCTTTGAGAAAATCTAGAACCTTTATACAAACTTCGTTTATATCTCGTGTTTTCATTGTTATTGCCATCAACAAATAAGTCGAGCGCTTGCGAGAGAGTCGAGTGCGTTGCCCTCTAGCGGCGAGCCTATCGCAATTAGGGCTCTACTCGCTCTGTGACAACGGAATCCCCGGTGAAAACGCAAGTTATGGGGGGAAAATGGCGACGTGGACGGTGGAAACGCGATCGAAACCGCGAAGAAGAGCGGAGGAAACTTCGTTTATATCTCGTGTGTTCATTGTTATTACTTTCAGCAGATAAGTCGGGCGCTTGCGAGAGAGTCGAGTGCGTGGCCCTCTAGCGGCGAGTCTATCGCAATTAGGGCTCTGCTCGCTCTGTGACAACGGAATCCCCGGTGAAAACGCAAGTTATGGGGGGGAAATGGCGTCGTCGACGGTGGAAACGCGATCGAAACCGCGAAGGAGAGCGGAGGAAAGGTGGACGGAGCTCGAAAGGGACGAGCAGAGAGCGCTGGGAAGGGGTTATACGCGTTAAGCCTGGTTCTCCGTGGTTCCCATGGATTCCAGCCGGGTATCTTCGCCGCGGATCGACGCACGGACGGACGGACGGACGGACGGAACGAGAAGAAGCGGCCTGCCACCGCCCGCGTATCTTCCGATGCATCGCCTCACCTTTCAGTGCGTATTTAAACGATACGATAGTTTTATACGAGCGATCTGATATCGAGGTTCGAGAGCGAAAGGCCCTGGCTGAGGCCTCCGACTCTCTGTTCGCCGTGACTACGACTCTACCGCTGCCTTTTGCTCGATGTTACACGCATCGTGCACGGAACAACCTTCTGCGTAGCATTAAGTGTCACCTGAACTATTTTTCATATTTTATTCGTGGGGAATTTTAGCTATTTTTGGGGTGTTTTTATCTTGATATAGTGTTCGTTGATGAATACATAATTAATTTAGCCATTTCTACTGTGTCCTTTTTTGGGGGAAACTTCTCTCTATTTTGCTCCATTAATATTTATAATTCATTCTTTAAAATTCCAAATTTTTAGGGTGTTTTTTTAGTGAGACTTTTCTATATTTTAATATACTATTTGCTGATGACTACATAATTAATTTAACTATTTTTACTGGGTTTTTTTCTTTTTTTTTTATTGAGACTTTTCTATATTTTGTTGCATCCACTAATATAATTCTTTTTATAAAATTCCAAATTTTATGGTGTTTTTTTATGAGAAGTATATTTTGATATAGTTTCTTGATAACTATATAATTAATTTAGTTGCTTCTATTGTGTTTTTTTTGTTGAGACTTCTCTATATCTTGCTACATCCACTAATACAATTCATTCTTTAAAATTCCAAATTTTTAGGGTGTTTTTTTATGAGACTGTATATTTTGATATATTGTTTGTTGACAACTACATAATTAATTTAGTTATTTCAACTATGTTTTTCTTTATACTGATATAAATATAATTAGTTCTTTAAAATACAAAATTTTAAGTGCTTATAATATGACACAAACATCAAAGATGGTTTCCCAAATTCCAGATCTAAAAATGGTGATGTACCACTTTGTAGGTAACCAGAAGCATCAAACAAAGACAATTGCAATAATTACAAACTTACATGGAAGTTTACTAGCCCTGAAACCCTACCACATCACTTTGAATTCACAAATATAGAATTCTCTGCTCAATATCCCAATATCAACAATCCAATATGGCGATTTTACATCAAATTTCTGTGTTTGAAAGCAATTGAATGAGGTTCTAATGCCAGGAAAAGCTAGAATCAAAGCTGAAATGAGGAAAGTGATGACATGGAAGTTTACTAGCACTGAAATCCTCCCATATTTGAATTCCCAAGTTTAACTTCCCAAATAAAGAATTCTCAGGCTCAATATCCCAATATCAACAATCCAATATGGCCATCTTACATCAAATTTTCATGTTTGAAAGCAATTGAATGACATTCTAATGGCAGGAAAAGCTAGAATCAAAGCTGAAATGAGGAAAGTGATGTCATGGAAGTATACTAGCACTGAAATCCTCCCATATTTGAATTCCCATCTTTGATTTCCCAAATAAAGAATTCTCAGGCTCAATATCCCAATATCAAGAATCCAATATGGCACTCTTCAATCAAATTTCTCTGTTTGAAAGCAATTGAATGACATTCTAATGGCAGGAAAAGCTAGAATCAAAGCTGAAACAAGGAAGGTTATGGCATGGAAGTGTACTAGCCCCGAAATCCTCCCATATTTGAATTGCCAAGTTTAACTTCCCAAATAAAGAATTCTCAGGCTCAATCTCCCAATATCAACAATCTTATATGGCCATCTTACATCAAATTTTCATGTTTAAAAGCAATTGAATGGCATTTTAATGGCAAGAAAAGCTAGAATCAAAGCTGAAACCAGAAAAGTGATGCCATGGAAGTTTACTAGCACTGAAATCCTCCCATATTTGAATTCCCAGGTTTGACTTCCCAAATAAAGAATTCTTAGGCTCAATATCCCAATATCAAGAATCCAATATGGCACTCTTCAATCAAATTTCTCTGTTTGAAAGCAATTGAATGACATTCTAATGGCAGGAAAAGCTAGAATCAAAGCTGAAACAAGGAAGGTTATGGCATGGAAGTGTACTAGACCTAAAATCCTCCCATATTTGAATTCCCAGCTTTGAATTGCCAAATATAGAATGTTCAGGCTCAATATCCCAATATAAACAATCCAATATGGTGATCTTACATCAAATTTCTGTGTTTGAAAGCAATTGAATGGCATTCTAATGGCAGGAAAAGCTAGAATCAAAGCTGTAACAAGGAAGGTTATGACATGGAAGTGTACTAGACCTAAAATCCTCCCATATTTGAATTCCCAGCTTTGAATTGCCAAATATAGAATTCTCAGGCCCAATATCCCAATATCAACAATCCAATATGGCTATCTTACATCAAATTTTTGTGTTTGAAAGCAATTGAATGGCACTCTGATGGTAGGAAAAGCTAGAATCAAAGCTGAAATGAGAATAGTGATGACATGGAAGTTTACTAGCCCTGAAACCCTACCATATCACCTTAAATTCCCAAATATAGAATTCTCAGGCCCAATATCCCAATATCAACAATCCAATATGGCGATCTTACATCAAATTATCGTGTTTGAAAGCAATTGAATGGCATTCTAATGGCAGGAAAAGCTAGTATTAACGCTGAAACAAGGAAGGTGATGGCTGTGGCTGTTGGACGCGTTGAAATTGGTCCCGCGAGCGACACACCGCGTGCATCGAATCGTTCTGTATCGAAGCGTTCGTGGCCTCTGGGAGAAAAGGGAAAAGATCGCGGCGCGGAGGTCGGGGAATGTTCGAGGCGGAGAGGAGCAGCAGGTAATATAAATCACTTCGAATCAATTAGACACGAGGGATCGCGAGCCGATGATCTTGCAGTGCCGGGGCTGCCAGGTGCACGGAGCGCCCATCGTCTCGGG